AATTTCAATTTTGATTTCTTCTCTTACCCAGTCTTTCTCAAGGAGGGTGTTGTTCAGTTTCCACGTATTTACTCTTTTCCTGTTGATCTTCCTATTATTGATTTCTAATTTGATAGCATTATGACATAACAACAACAACAACAATGATCTGATACTGCAAAGATACTTTGCAGTATTTCGATGTTTTTAAATTTATTAAGGCTTGCTTTATGGGCTAACATATGGTCTATCATGGAAAAAGTTCCATATGCACTGGAGAAGACTGTATATTGTGCTGCTGTTGGGTGAAGTGCTCTATAGATGTCTATAAGACTAAGTTGGTGGATTGTATTGTTTAGCTCTTCTACATCTTTGTTGAGTTTCTTTCCAGTTTTTCTATCTTTCAAAGAAAATGGTGTATTAAAGTCTCCCACTATGAGTGTGGAGTCATCTATTTGGCTTTTCAACTCTTTTAAATTGTGATTTATGTATTTTGGGGCTCTTTCACTGGGTCCATAGATATTTATTATGGTTATATCCTCATGTTCAATTGATCCTTTAATCATTGTATAATGTCCTTCCTTGTCTCATATCGTGGTTTTTGTCTTAAAGTCAATTTGATCAGAAATTCATATTGCCACTCCTACTCTCTTACAGTTGCTATTTGCTTGATATTTCTTATTCCAACCTTTGATTTTTAATCTATTTTTGTCTTTATCTCTAAGGTATGTCTCTTGTAGGCAACATATTGATGGGTTTTGTTTTCTTATCCAATATGCAACTCTTCATCTCTTGAGTGGTGCATTTAATCCATTAACATTCAGGGTAATTATTTATAAGTTTGAATTTGTTGCTGTCATTTTGTTATGTGTTTTTTCATGTGTTCCTGGTTTCTTTGTTCCATATTATTTTCTGGGCTGAGCTCATTATGTTTATGAATCATGTTATCATTTCCTTTGTTGCTGTTGTTTTAGTATATGCTGAATATTTGTGCTTGTTCTCTTTTTTATTGGATGTGAAGGTTTATCATTTTTCTTTGAGGTTACTCTATGATTTACAATTTTATCCCTGAGTTTGTTGTTGTTGTTGTTGTTATGTGCCGTGGAGTCAGCCCTGACTCATAGCGACCCCTCCTTGGGTTTCTGAGGCAGTATCACTACGGAAGTAGGATTGCCCAACCTTCCTTCTGAGGAGTGGCTGGTGGGTTTGAACCGCCAGCCTTCTGGTTAGCAGTCAAATGCCTTAGCCACTATGCTACCAGAGCTCCCATCCCTGAGTTTAGAACAGTCTATTCAACTTGCAACTCTCTTAACAGGAGTGGAATTTTCTTGACAGCAACAATTACATTTGGTACTCATTTTATCTTTCACATGGAACTTTATGTTACTGGCCTCAGTCCTGTTGTTGTTGCTGGGTGCCAACATTGATTTTTGACTCCGCGACCTCAGGTGACAGAGTAGAACTACTCTCGTAGGGTTTTCTTGGTTGTAATCTTTACAGAAGCAGATTGCCAGGTCTTTCTCTTGGGGAGCTGCGGTATGGGTTCAAACTGCTAATCTTTCAGTTAGCAGCTGAGTGTTTAACCATTACACCACCAGGGATATTTGAGGTCAGTTCTGAGTGATCAGTGTGGAATAGTAATCATAATAGCCACCATTTCTAAAGAGCTTCCCATGCACCAGAGACCATGCCAAGTGCTGTACCTGTACAATCTTATCTAGTCCTCACCACAACTTTTTATACACGTATACCTCTTATTCCCACGTAACATATAAGATATGCAGGATGAAGGGAAAGTTAAGGTCAGGTACCTAGTGTGGGGGGGGAGCTGAAATGTGGTTCCACTGGTTTCTGATTCTAGAGCCTGTGCTCTTAGTGGTATAGTTGAACTTCACTACTAAATGAACCTAGTGTCTCAACATGTACTAGCTTGTTAGAAAGGAATTCCAATTATTAGTTAAACAAGTAATGGAATTTATATTAAAAAGTTAGCAATTGAGAACAAATAGAGTTGATTCACAAAGATGTCTAAGTCTGGATAGTCTCATTATTGGTCATAGGAAGAAACCTGCAAAAGGTAATCGGTTATCACTGAGAAGTTAGGAGTAAATGCAACTTTGTCTACATGCATTTTATCAAAGTGAAAGTGCTTTTGTCCAAAATTCAGCAAATTCTTCATAGTCCAATAAACAACTGGTAGGAGTTAAACAAGAAGACTTCAAGATGCTAAACTGCTATCTGATTTGTAGCAACTTTTCACACTCTGATCAGGGGCTGGTATCAGCCTCTGTCACCCTCAGCCTGGCTGTTGAAGACTGAATTGTACATTCAGCACGCATGGTTGAGACTTGCTGTGTGATGTCTAAGTTGCAGTTTTCCTTTCTTCTGCTGGATTGGCCCAGCTTCCAGGGGCTTCATCCTCAGTGTCCTCATCTTGCACACTGTTGTCCTGGTACAGCCAGACTTTCATATGCACTATCACTTCCACTGCATAGATAATGTATATTAAGATTAGAGTTCTTGCATATGTCAGCACTTGTCTGGGAATCATGATCTAAGCTAATTCTCATTGGCCAGAGGGATCCTATTCTCTGTGTTCTTCAGTCAGGGCTGGAGTCTTTAGGAGGCTGGAGTGATCCAGAATATGATTACTCTACATCCTAGCTGTACATATCACATACCTCTGGCCTTCTATTTAGACTTAGTGGGCAGCCCCATGTCTGACTGAGTTTATGACCCTTTGGGTACTGTGGGCTGGCTTTCTGGGCTAATGCTACTGCTGGGTTAGATTCCCTGTTCTGCCCAAGTCCAGTTTCTTTTCTTCTCCCTGTTAATCCACATTAGAGAAGTCCCAGCTTGTTCCGAACCTACCCCGAATCAAAGTAGTAAACCTTTGGGCAATACTTACAGGGATTTTATAGTCTGGATAATGTGAAATCAGGTCTTGAATGAAAGGATGCTTCAAGAGAACAGCAACTTCAATTGGTTCCAGATTCTTGGCACCTAGGTCCTGAAATATTTTTATGAAGTTCTTTAAAGAAGAAAAAATGATGAAATCAATTAGCTTTAAAAATCCTGTAGATGTTAAAAATTTACTTATGAAATCAATGTGCTATAACTTCTATACAATGATGCATTTTGGGCACAGTACTGTGAAAATATACTCAAAATTGAGGGCACATTTCCTTACGTACAGGTCGTCCCTTTTACAAAAACAATCTAACTGACCTCATAATAAATGTTCTCTGTCTTTAGCTGGCTGGCAAATCTGTCACAGTCTTGTGCTTCAGTTCCTCCTTGGAACACTTTGAGTAGTGTTTCCATGGAAATCTTTTCAGTGTTTGCATTTTCAGGGATTTCTTCTTCCTTTTCCTCTTTGAATTCTCTTTCTTCTCTTCCATTTTCTTCATATTCAGGAGATCCCTCCAGTGTACTTATATTAGTAAAGGAGGAGGTCTACAAAGTCAAATAAAGATAAAGCCAGACTGAAGTCTCAGCAGCAACAGAGGAATTTAGAACACACCAAGTTCATCACATATTATTTCTATGCAGTGGAATAATAGTGCCTACTGCAAACCAGCTAAACAATGCTCAGAAAGGGATGTTCTTGTTGCACTGGAAGCAACAGTTTTGAAATCCTAGAGCAACTCTGCTCTTGTGATCTGCAAGAGGTCTCAGTGTGAGGTATGTTCTATTTATCTCTATAAACCTTGGCTCACTACACTGCCAGGAACATCATATTCTTCACTCAAAGGACACTGCAATGAGTTAGTGTAGACTTCAAACTATAGATGTAGCTTTTAATACTATTTTCTTCTCAAAATTGTTTGTAGTTGAGGGATAATGACAAGCTAATGTCTCAAACTTGATTGATTCTAAGAGTTTCAGGAACATTTCTTTGGATACTGGTGGCTAATCCAACAAAATATGTAGAAAGCAAAGTGGAAAAGAAATCTGAATGTAGAAAAGCAGGTTGAGATTTCCACTGATATTCTTTGAAACTTGGCCAAGAACCATGAACTCAGGCATTTGGCAAATTTTGAATTTGTAAAGAGTAAATTCCATCAGGAGTAATTTCTCATGTATCAAAGATCTGTAAAATATCCCTACCATTTGAACCAGTAATGACAAGAATTAATCCTAAAGAAATATTCATGTGCACAAATATTTTTACATATGGATGCTCATTCCATATTATTTACAGCAAAAATAGAAAACTACATTTCCAAACATGAGCAAATGGTGAGACAACTGATCATACATTTGTGATGGAATACCAGGCATCCATGAAAATTATGATTTAAAATAGCTTTTTTTAAAAAAGATAAAAATAAAAAATAAAAAAATGGCATTAAAAACCCCTCATATTAAGTGCCAAATGAAAACAGAATGCAAAATACTAAATAACTAGAACCCTAATTTGCTTATACACCTATTATTACCTGAAAAAAGAAAACAGATATTGCACATTAAAAAGTTAACAGGAGTTACCTCTGGATAAAGGAATATTTGATTTCTTTTTTCCTGTTTTGTACTTTCTAAAATCTCTATAGCAAATTTCTCTCCCTCCCTCTCTCCCTCTGTGTCTATATGTGTGTTTGTGTTTCTGATAGTGTTGTTGTTGTTAAGTGCCATCGACTTTTTTCTGACTCATAGTGACCCCATGCACAGCAGAACGAAACACTGTCCGATCCCGCACCAGCCCCACAATCCCTGCTATACTTGAGCCCATCATCGCAGCCACCGTGTCAATCCATCTCGTTGAAGGCCACCCTCTCTTTCGTCGACCCTCCACCCTACCAAGCATGACATCCTTCTCTAGGGAATGGTCCCTTCTTACAACATGACCAAAATAGGTGAGACAAAGTCTGGCCATTCTTGCTTCCAAGGAGCATTCTGGCTGCACTTCCTCCAGGACAGATCTGTTAGCTCTTTTCGCAGTCCATGGTACTTTCAGCATTCTTCGCCAGCACCACAACTCTCAAAAGCATCAACTCTTCTTCGGTCTTCCTTATTCATTGTCCAGCTCTCACATGCATACCAGGCAATTGGAATATCATGGCTTGTGTCAGGCGCACCTTAGTCCTCAAGGAGATATCCTTGCTCCTCAGCACTTGATACAATTCCTTTGCAGTTGACTTTCCCAATGCTACACGTCGTCTAATGTCCTGACTGCTGCTTCTGTTGGCATCAATTGTAGAAACAAGCAACGTGAATTCTTTGACAACCTCAATCTTCTCTCCATTTATTGTGATGCTGCTCATTGGTCCAGTTGTGAGGATTTTTGTTTTCTTTATATTTCTGATAGTGAGGTAACCTATATTTGAAAATGGACATTTTGGAAGGCTGACTGGCCAAAGGGCAGAGAATAGTGAGTACTATTCTCTTTATCCCCAGGAAGGACATATGGTTTTGCTGATGCTAATTTATGTTAAAAACAAAAGGAGGGTGCCAATGTTTGTAAACTTTGAATTAAACTAAAACATTAAGTGCACAGATTGCCTGTTTTGCAAATAGCCATTTAAGCCCCATGTATAACAAGCTTTGGCATAGAACAGACTTAAGCCTCTGTTAGTCATATGGCCCTGTTAGGAATTTCAGAGGGGCCATGGGCAGTGGAATGAAGACAGGTTGCATTTGCTATTATTTGGATTTCTAAATCCTTTGCTTAATTTTAACTTTATTTTGATCTTGAAGAGAGTGAGAGCAAGAGAATGCTACAAGTTGAAGATTTAGCAATTAAGTTTAAATATACATGCATATATTGGTATATCTGTGTGTGTATGTAGAAATGTATACACACATATATGTAAAGTGTTGTTAGTTGATGTTGAGTTGATTTCAACTCATGGTGACCCCATGTATGTCACTGTAGAATTGTTCTCCATTAGGTGTTCAAGGCTGTGACCTTGTGACCTTTTGGAAGTAGACTGCCAAGGCTGTATTCTGAGATGACTCTGGGTGGGTTCAAATAGTCAACCTTTTGGCTAGTAGTCAAGCACTTAACCACTTATGCTACCCAGGGATATATAACTATATATGTTGTTCTTATTGGTATATATTTTCAAGTTGGTTCCAACTTATAGTGACTGGTCCCTTCTGACAACATGACCAAAGTAGGTGAGATGAAGTTTCATCATTCTCATTTCTAAGGAGCAGTCTTATTACATTTTCCAAGACAGATTTGTTTGCTCTTCTGGCAGCCCACGTTATTTTCAGTATTCTTCACCAACACCACAACTGAAATGCATAGTCAGGGTGTGAAACATCATGCTGAGTGAATGAAGAATGCCTGGATTTCTCCTCAGAGTGCACCACAGGTGCTCCATCCACAAGATACAGACAGAACCTATGGGTGGGTGAATAACTAGTCTGGTTAGATAAGCAAGGATACCAAAGTTAAACAATCAAAGAACCTGGCATCTCTGTCCTGACTCTGTAATTGTTATCATTTTAAATCCATCAAATCTATTCCAACTCACGGAGACCCCATGTGATGAAGTGCAGCTCTTTTCTTGGCTATAATCTTTATAGTACCAGATCACCAGGTCTTTCTGCTGTGGGCCTCTGGGTGGGTTCAGACCATCGACCTTTCAATTAGCAGTTGAGCACTTAACTATTGGAGGGACTAATTTTTCAAAGGGCACATTGGTGGTTCAGTGGTAGAATTGTCACCTCCTGTGAAAGAGACCAAGGTTCTATGACCAGCAAACACCTCTCATGTGCAGCCACCACTGTCTGTCAGTGGAGGCTTGTATATCGTGATGATGCTAAACAGGTTTCAATGGAACTTTTAGATTAAGATGAGGAAAAAAGACTTAGCAATCTACTTCTGAAAATTAGCCAGTAAAAACATTATGGATCATGATAGTCCAATTCCCAATGGATCACAGGGAAAGTGCTGGACTGGGTAGCATTTCATTCCATCATCTGTAGGATCTCCATGAGTGGAACTGACTCTACAGCACCCAATAGCGGCACCACCACCGGCAATTTTTTGAAGGCTCAATATAATCATCATGGGATACATTAATTTTCTGTGTTTTATTTATTTTTGTTGGCAGTCAAACATATCCATTCATGATTTCTATATGAACAGTTTAATAACATTGGTTACATACTTCACATTTTGTCACTACTCTATCTCTACTCATATACATACATACTCTGGTAGCATAGTGCTTAAGGCACTTGGCTGCTAACCAGAAGGCTGGCTGTTCAAACCCACCAACCACTCCTCGGAAGGAAGGTTGGGCAATCCACTTCTGTAGTGATATCACCTTGAAAACCCAAGGAGGGGTGGCTATGAGTCAGGTCTGACTCAATGGCACATAACAACAATAACATATACATCACCATTACTTTAGGATCTTTGCCTCTTAAGGTTCTCATCTGCGGTTTAGATTAATCGTTGTCAAATTACACTCATATAGATAACTCTTTATAAGAGTGCTATGCTGAGGTAAACAGTTTTTACTAATTTGGCTATAATTATTGTTTAACAATGGCTTTACGGAAATGTATTGATTCAAAATTTCAAGGTTATTTCTAGGCATTAGAGTTGGGGATTCTCCCAGTTTCAGTGAATCCAGTAAGTCTGTTTTCCATGTGAGTTTGAAGTTCCATTCCATGCTTTTCCTCCTTTTGATCAAGATCTATTATGTCCTTGATTGAAAGATTCAATTATGATAATTGGGTATCATCCATTTCTTCTGGTCTCATAGTAATGGAGCTAGTAGTTTATGGAGGCAATTAAACCTGAGGTCCAGATAAATGATTTTTTTTTTTTTAATCAAAAAGTAACAAAGTAAAACATCTGAAACTTTAGAGCAAAGAATTCTTAAATGATTAGTGTCATAGGGTGATTTTTAAGTTCCGCCATTATTTGTAAGCACAGCTCTCCAGGAGGTTAGGGGAGGAGTAGACTTAGTGGCTCAGTGGAAGCAGAAGGAGATGAGGGGACCAGCTGCCTGAGGACTGCAGGGTGTGCACAACAGGGAGCTCACTCCAACAGAGAGCTCTGGAGGACAGTGATTTTGAATGTGGGTCCACGAACAAAACCAGTGATGTCAGTTTGGAGAAAAGCCAGTGCTTCTGAATGAGCAACTATCGGTGGCGTCCAAATGCTGTGTGAGTCTCATCATCATCTAAGTGGTGGAAAAGACTGTGCTGTCAAACATCCCGTCACATGCAGCTAACTCTCAAAGGCAGCCCTGAGGACTCCCTGCAAATGTGTCCACAGAATGATGCTTGGTGTCCTGGCTGACCATGCATTTCTATTATTCAGTCATCTGGGTCCTATATCTGAGAAGGCAGTACAGAAGGTCAATCCTTAGGACAAACATAGGCAAAGATGTCAAGGAGCAGGATGGAATGGAAATGTATGTGCTTCAAATCCCAGGACCTCAACACTTTCTGCCAAGATGCTTTTTTACAAAATTTCTAAAATGTAGGAG